AACAAAAAAAATATTGAAAGATAAATTACATTTTATTTTGAATAATAAAAAATATATTCTTTTAGAATATAAAAGAGAAATAGAAAAAAACATTTTTGTTATCTATTTTTCCATTTTAATTTTTTAAAGTAAAAAATTTATGTGAAAATTTTTGAAATTGAGGGCTTTAGTAATCCATCAATCTTTAATTGAATTTAATCAAAATGAAATCGAAATTCAATTTTTTCAAATAAAATTCGTGGAGGATAAATGTTGATTCAATCGAAATAACACCAACCATGTGTATATTTTGTTATTATCACGCCAAATGTTTTGTATATTTTCTTAATAATGCTTTAAAAAATCTCAAACTTACAATTGGTCTTATTGATCAAAATACAAAAGAACTTTAAACGAAAATTTCGTAAAAAAATCAATAAGAATTTCGTATGGCTACAAACACAAATATTTAAAAAGATAATAATTAACGTTATCAACACTTCATACTTATGTTTTGCTTTATTGAGGCTTAAATAAGAATATTCTTTTCCTAATTAATTTCCCTCTTATTTCTGCGTGTACTGCGTATAATTTAACAAAAGAAAAATGAACTATTAAACCTAAATTTAATGCCATTCCAGCAAATAATAAACTTTACACTGATATATTTAAGTTCAATATGAAATTATTGTGATAATATGGTTCAGATTCACAGAGGGACGATAAAAAGTTATTAAAATTAACAAATTTATATTACATATAGTCCCCCTCCTATTTATTAATTTCTGATATTCGTTTGAAATGAATAGAATAAAGAGAATTGAGCGATACGTTTGCTAACGTTGAGTTTATGTTAAAAATGAATTAATAATAAAAATGAGCAGAAAACTGCTCATTTTTTTAATAACATGATGATAAATTTTATCGCAGAAAATTATAATAATAAAAAAATATAGCAACATTAAAAAGTAATAATAATATTCTAATGAAATTACGTTTTCTCTAATAATATCGTAGGTCTGTTCTCCAACAAGTCACACGAATATCTTATCTGCATTTATATAAAATAATACAAAAACACAAAACAGTTTGTTATAGTAATGCCAACACTTACAAATTAAAAATGTAAAAACACGATGAAAAAGTATGAATTGGTCATGTCAACTCTCACTTATTTGGAAATGGAAAACACATGGTAGATATTTAATATTGAACTTAACCCCAAAAGTAATTTTTTCCTTTTCCTAATGATTGATTTTCGGTTTATAATTTTTTAAAGATCTGAATTTGAAAGCTCAGCAAACTATCAAATTATTTTGTATGGCTAATTTTTTAATACCACAAGTATTTTGAATTTTAATTTCAATTTTTCTTTGTAAAAAGAAAATTTGCTTAAAGAATTTTTCGGAAAATATTTTGTATACCTTCATTCATTAATTCCATGTTAAATATCATAATTTAATCAAAGGATTTTCCAAAGGACATCCCTTGAGCAAAACAAAAAAGTAAACTCAAATATATTTCCCTTTCCGGTGGGAAACCATTTTATTTGTCATGAAGATTGGTAAATTAAAATAGCAAATACATTATTTGAAGCAAAAGGTTTATTTAATATAAAAAAAATTTAATAGAAAAGAACAGATGAAACAACAAACAGCATTAAAATTCAAAGTATAACTAAATACATACAGACATGGGGTCGTCAACTAGTTTGTGAAACACAAAAATATATAAATTTACAAAAACATTTGGTTTGATAATAACAAAATATACACAATGTCTAGGGTCTAGGCGAAATACATTTTACGAAATTTGCATAGTTGAACCACTAAAACAAGTTCGATATTGTTTATTATAATTAAATGATATTCTACAGAACATTGGAATTTTCAATTTCCCGAAATCAATATAATTATAAAAAAAAATTATAATTTGAACTCAATTATTATGTTTGATGTGTTGGCTCGCGTGACTTTATAGAAAAGATATATGAAAATTTGGAACGAATCCTTTATATACACATTATCGCCAAATACTAGCCAACAAACATGATTAAAATAACAATTATTGAAGTGGTCGTATAAGTAGGGGTACCGACTTTATCAAATTCTGTTTTTTGTGGTATTGTTATAATTATCTTTTTTATCGTATTATACAACACATACATACGTTATACTTATTATTTCGAATTTTCATTAAATACAAAAAACTTCAGTAACAGGTAATAAACTTTCATTTCTAATAATCTAAAAAACAAATTTCCTCCTTTTTTTGGGGTGGGTTTCTTTATAATCATTTGTTTATTATCTCATTATTTTTTAATATAATTTATGATTTCAATTTATTTACTTCTAGTTGTCAACTTTTCACGTACCTATTTTATTTACGTGGGTGAATTTGAATTAAATGAATGGAAAAAAAATGAGAACGAAATGAGACTAAAATTTCAATAAAAAAAAGAACAATATTAGATGATGATTCAATAAGGAAATAAAAATTTGATTTATATTTAATATTATCAAGTTGAAGTGCAATAAATTAATTGATTTTTATGAAAACTTGTATATTGAGTTCATTATATTTTAGTATGTTATTATAGTTCGCAGCAACAATGTTACCGTTAGGCCTATATTACATTCTGACACAAATTTGCCAAGCATCATATTTATTTAATGGAAAGGTGGTATGATTTTTTTCTAATTATTGAGACATACAAAGTTAATTATTGTAATATTAGCTAGAAAATCATCAACTGAATATTCTAAAAAAATTTCAAAAAACAATGGATTATTGGACAATATAAAATGAATGGAAAAATTATCACGAAATTTTTGTTAATTATCCGTAACACATAACAAAGTTCCAAATATTTTATGTACAAAAAGTATTTCATTATTATATCACATTTAATAAGTTTAACAATCGGAGTTTTTATACTATATTTTATTCCACAACAGATTTTTGTGACACACATAATTTATTTTTTCATATTTGCCACATTATAATTTATAATCAAGAGTAAGAGCAATTGGTTTTATAATTACAGCAAAAAAACAACAACAATATTATAATTAAAAGGACTAATTATTTATATGAAAATAAAAAAAATTAAACCAAAATATAACAGAATTATAACAGTTATTTACTAGTAGTTGTATGAGAAACAAGTAAATTTTGATGACTTCTAATTTAAATCACATAAAAAAAAATTTTGTTTTCTATTGAATTTTTTTTATATTCAAAATCAAATTAAAATTTTGAGTGTGTTGATAAACTGTATTATGACATTTACATATAGTAAAATTCACAAGTAAAATTAAAAATAGATTATAAATCTGAATTCTAATGGAATATTCTTAAAAAGACACAAGTTTGCAAACGTGAGTAAAATTACATAAATTAATGTGTGAACAATGCGCATAACAATTTATTCAAAATAACTATTCTGATTATTTATTTATAGAATTTACAATTAAATTTATGTATGTAAAATACGTAAAAATTCATTTTAAAAATTATTTTCATGCTTCTAATTTAAAACAAAATTATATTTACGTTTAATATAATGGACTATACACCTTTCATTTAAGGAACAGAGCCTTTTAAAAAGGTGCTGCTCTCTAAATAAATAATTGGCGCATGTTTCGTTTTCTGCCAAAAATGCAGAATAAACGTATGTATACATTCACACGCTTAATTTAATATTAGGTATTAGACCTAAAAAAAAATCAGGGCTATATTATTTATACTTGGTGAATATGTAAGAAAAAACTTCAAATTTAATAATACTCACTTGAATTAAATATTTTTTTTAGATACAAGTGTTACAGGGCTCGGCCAGTTGAATGCCCTTACTAAAAAATATTGGGAATCACTGGTCTGAAAACTATTTCAAGAAATTGAGTTTTGACAAAAAATTTTATTAAGTTTTATTGTTCTTTCCTAGAAATAATTTAAATTTTGAGTCTACAACTAAAAATTTAGTATATTCTTCGTTGCTATAAAAAATGTATTTTCCATTTCTTAAATTTATTACTAGTGTAATGGAGTAACATAGTTATAACTAAAGTACTGCTCAAAGATGATACTTTGAAAGACCAAAAATTATGAACATTTTGGAGACAACAAAAGAAAAATTTTCATCAAAAAGTTCAATTAATTTATTAATTTATACTTATTCGTTAATAAAATTAATTTTCCTATATACGTTATATAACTAATTTTGTTTTTATAAATTTTAATTAATGCGTATATTATAATATGTTGCTTCGTTTAAACTCATTAATAATTCTCTCTCTTCTTTTCTATTTTCAGATCATATTAACCAATTTCACATAAATAAAATTGGAGCTCATTAGCAAAAAAAAAAAGAAAAAAGAAATCTTTTTAATAAATGCTCCGCAAACTTAACCACAGTTTATGATAATAAAATTATTATGAAACTTTTTGAATTTCTTTTGTACCCGTCCTATAAAGAGTATCATTAGAATTTTGGAGCTCTTTTATACGATACAAAATTTACTATCAAATTTATAACTAAAATTCATCATTACTGATAAAAAAAAATTATATTAAATGTAATGTCGTCATAAGTTAAAAATTTCCGGACAAATTTTACATAATAAAAAAAACAACTGATATTGAAAATTTCATATGATTTGAGTTATCAGTTTCAGAGTACTTTAAGTAAATAAAATAAAATGAAAATAAATAAACAAAGAGTTTATGACAGCTACGTAGAATAAGAAATTCATTTAGAAATCATTACAATTTCAGTCACTTACCTAAAACTAATTTTACTTTTAAATTTTAATCCATATTGAAAATAAATAATTATATTTATATTATTTTTTTGATATGCAAAAAAAATTAAAATTATGTTAGAAAACAGAAAATTATTTAGTTCAATAAATTGAAAAATAAAATAGTTGACAGTAAATAAAAAAAAAGTGACTTATGAATTAATTATCGTCAAAATGGTCTTTTAATGTAATGTAAAATCACACTAAAGTCAATTCAATTTGAAAATTTTAACGAAATTTAATAACGTCAAATTAAAAAAAAATAATCAAAATAAATTGTTGAATTTTAAGTGAGAAAAGGGCTAATATGGAGCTTTCATCATTATCACCAAATTTTGATTATTATGATTTTTATAATGACCAACTTGATATAAGGAATAATTTTTCACCGCCATATCAAATGATATCGTCGTCGTCATCATTAACATCATCAGAATTATCATCAATATTAAAAAACGATCGTGAATCAATTTTTATTCACAATAATAATAACAACAATAATATTAATCATTTACAATATGAAACAACACCAACAATTTTAACAACAGTAGCAACATCAACAACATTAGCAATAAATAATTTTATTATTAATAACGAAATATCACCAACTATTAATTATAATAATAATAATAAACTTCGTAATGCTCAAGTTGACCCAAATTTAGCATTTTGGGCTGTTGTTGATGGTGTTTTATTAGTATTTATCTTAGGTGGTAATTTTTTAACTATTATTGCTGTTAGATTTAGTCGTCGTTTACGTTCAATAACATCCAATTTATTTGTATTATCATTAGCCATATCTGACATATTAGTTGGTTTTACTCTACCATATCATTTGGCATTTTATATGGGTTCTGGTTTAGGTAAAACAAAGGAGTATTGTTTATTAAGATTTTTTCTTATAATATTGGCATGCTGCAATTCAATATGGAATTTAATTGCAATTGCTGTTGATCGATATATTGCTATATTTTTTCCACTACATTATAGCAGGTAAGAAAATTAAATTACAAAAACTGTAAATAATAAAGTGCATGTATATCTGTGTCCAAGTATAAAACTAACAGCTATTTTTAAAAATGTGCGAAACTAACTACTTTAACTATAAATTTTAAATGATAGAAGACTCAATTTTAATATGTTGTTAATTATTTACACAAATTTAATTTTCTATTCAATACTTTTTTTTTATTATATTGCACGTCTTGTGTTTAATAAGATTAAATGTGGTCTGAAATTTAAGTTTACCAAGTGACAAATTCATAATTCAACATAATTCAAGTTAAGTCTAACATGATTTAAAACAATGTTTAATAAAAATATCGAAACTCTGTTGTATTAAGACTCAGTACCGTTTGATGCTTAATAAAAATATTGAAAAGCACTTAAAAAGAAAATCAGTAATTATTTTAAAAGATGTATCATTTTTCACATTAATTCAAAAATATCCATTTATTTCCAAGTTATTTGATTTCCAATAAAGCTTACCCAAAGCTAGCCCTTACTTTGTCAAATAAGGTTTAGATCTTTAATTCAATAACATAAAAAAAATCAAAAAATTTCCAAAAGCTCTAATAAAATATTCGCATGTACAAAGTTCCGATATTGCAGCTTCAATAATTTCTGATATACAGCCAAATAACTTTTGAATTTGCATGGCAGCTTCCCAACCCTATGCCTTGGTCACATTGAATTCAGGGTTCGACAATTAACTATAATTATTCATTTGCCAAAATTTTGTTAACTTAACTCAATTAGTTTTTGAGTCATAACTGGAACCCGCGGTCGGACGAATAAACGGAGTAACTGACGAACAGAATGGGCTTCATTTATTCAGAATTCAGGGATATATATTTGCGTCTATATCTGACAACGTTATATTTCTAAGTGTTAAAAACGGAGTGGCAAAATTCATAGTTACCTTCAAAGAGGCATAAATACCTCTTTAGAAAGAATAAAAAATAATTTCTTCCCTACATGCAACAAAATCCACCCATGTAATTTATTCATTGATTTTTAATTAGTAAATTTACATATACACATGTACTTTAAAAATTTTCCATAAACTTTTAAAATTTGTAACGAAAACATAGCACAACAACAGGCGCCACTTTAAATTCATAAAAAATAAAAAACAAAATATGTATGTATATATTATCAAAAGTCGATCAGGGTGGGTTTTTGTGTTTGTATTGTCTTTTAATTATTGCCAAATAATTTATAATTTAAATATTTCATTAAAAATTTGTCGTTGTACAATAATGAAAGAAAATACAAAAAAAAACTTGAAATTTACAGTTTTAATTTTAAGTTCTTTTACACGATAATCAAATAAATTCAATTAAACAAAGAGAATATTTCCTAAAATATTTCCTAAAACAAAGAAACTTCTTTTCAACCCATTTCATTCTCAAATTTATTAAAATTTTTTTTTTTTTGTTGCAATGTAAGTGTAAATCTCATCTCAGTGAAGGTTTTTTTTTTTAAATAAAGAAAACTTTTCATCGTTATTTCTTAATTTAAAAAGAAATTTCTAAAAAAAAAATATCATTTAAAAAAATTGTAAAATAAATAACAAAGGACATTTTTTATAATTGTATTTCCAATATACCGTTTACCCTATACACCATCTTTGCTGCACTAACATAATTTGCTATTAGAGTAAAAATTTTTGCACTTGCGAATGTATTGAATTATTCTGAGTTCAAAAAACTTTCCGTTATCTTTTTTTTCTAAAAAAAAAACCTAATCATTGTTAAATGTCCCCAAAAGGATAACGAAAAATGTTAAAACCACTAAGTGGTATTGTTTTCGTACATTACTACTTAGTGCAAACACAAAGTGGATAATTTCGGAACTCAATTGATTTTAAATTTTAATACTTTGAATTCAAATTTACTCAAAACAAATATAATTTTCAGTAAAAAAACGACCCATTTCTGTCTTTGTTTGCCTTTTAACTGAATATTTAGCAAAAATTTGCGCACCCGAACAACAGTATTTCTAAACACTGATTGGGTATTTTCAAATTTGAAACCAGTGTTGATTCAGTTAAGTTTTGATTTGAGACTAGAATTTGATTATGAAATTCAGATACAATTTGTCATATAGTTCTTAAGAACTCACACCACAATGCGCTTTATTATTTTGTATTAGAAATAATTAATTCGCACTTAGTGTATAATTTTTTTAATTGTATGTATGATTTTTTCATTTCTTTGTAATTGTTAGAATTTTAAAACACAGAAAATTAGAGGCAACAATAATATAGTAATTAGAAAAAGCAACAATAATATAGTAATTAGAAAAAATTTAAAAACTTTTTTAGAATTTCCAAAATAATACTATTACTCTTTTATTTTCCTATTTAAGATATTTTGTTGTTGTTTAATTATTTGCTCCAAAAATTAAAATAGCACTTTTAACTCTAAAAGTTCATTGTTTTTTTTTTAATTATTTAGCATATTTTTTAAATGTTTTATCTGAATTCTATAACATATATATAATATGTAACATATAAATACTCAATATTAAGAAGAACTTTTATTTTAAACGAGGAAAACAACAAAAAAATAAATTTTATTTAAATTTTCGTTTCTCTTTCTTTCATATTTATTTTTGCAAACACAATAAATGGGATGCTGTTCGTATCGCCGTCGTTATGTCGTCAACATCTTTGATATTTTATTAACAACAAAAATAAAAACACCAACATTGGTTGAAACGGTTCACTCAAATCATTTTTACAATTTTTTTTTTGTTTTTAAACATTTCATTTAGATATATGACAAAGAAAGTAGCTATTATCCTTTTAGGATTTGGTTGGATACTTGGTATAGCATTTGCGACAATACCATTGATCTGGAATAATTGGGATACAGCGACACAATGTGAATTTGACGAGATCCTTAAACCCTGGTATATGGCTGGTGTAATAACTCCTGGTTTTTCAATGGTATGGTTATGTATGTTAACAGTATATTTGAGAATATGGCGCGAAGCAGCTAAACATGCCAAACAATTACGTTCATCATTTACAGGCTTACATGAAACACCATCGGATTCAAAATCTGTTCAGGTAAAAACGACCAATAATATTTGTTTTAGACAATTCTCGAATAAACAGTAAACAACATTTCGTATTTTATTCTAATCGCGATTTTAATTGTTTTAAAGCATTGCGAAAATTTTCAATCGAAATCTATTGGCATCTGCGTTCATTAGCATTTAATGCCTATAGATATACGTTTTAACTATAAAGTATAAAACAGTTTACATTATACTTTATAATTAATCAGAAAATTTTCATAAAACAAAGTAATATCAAATAATTATCTAATAATTAATTTAAACTTCAAAAAACTTTAATTTTTTCAATTTTAATTTTCATTCTAGGTAGTTTTATTTATATTAGGATGTTTTTCCTTTTGCTGGCTACCATACTTCATAATTGCATGTGTCCAAATATTTAAGTATGTTGACAAGAGTACACCAATGTTGTACAAAGCAGCATTTTCGCTTGCAATGGCTAATTCCGGTATGAATCCAATAATATACGCATGGAAGAACACGGGATTTCGTCGCGCATTTGCTAGATTGTTGCGTTGTCAAAGTCCTGATTACAACGATGTTAGTCAACATAGTATAAGATCGTTGAATAAACGTCGGAAAAGTTCAGGATCTCAACCACATCCACAACAACAGCAACAACAACAAAAAATAGGAAACATAATAACATCAGAATTTTCATCATCTAAATCTAAAATCAAATTAAATGATGAGGCGAATATTGTAACACCCCCTTTGTCATCAATATCTATAACTTCATCCAATGCTATTCCCAACGATGGAATAAATCTACATCAAAAGATTTATAACAAAAATAATTTTTCCGATTCCAACACAATAACAAATGAAACATCTACCATCACACCAAATAATAAAACTTCTGGTAATGAAAATGATAAATTTTATTATGCAAATAAAATTAATAGTAGAAATAGTGCAGTTAACAATTATAGTATAAACAATAACAAAGTACGAAAATCAAGTCTTAAAAGAACCGAAAGTAGTGATGATGATAGAATGTCAACTCCACATGGAGTTTTTCCAAGAAAAACGTCGTTCGGTACTGTTACGACAACAATTATAAATACATCTACAGATGATGACGATGGTGATTATGAATATAACTATCATCGTATGGGAAATGAAAAGACGACTGATACTGGTATTTCGAATATTGGGAATAATGTTGCTGGAAATGGATTTGGCCATCACAATATTTTAATGTCAACAATTGTATCGTTAGACGATATTTCCTTAGTTGCAACTACAGCTACAACTAAAAGTTCGTCATCTTACAGCTTTGATACTTGTGCTGAAACAAACGATATACAAGAACGCGAGCTAGAACAAAAAGATCAACAATTTTCTGACAAATCATTAAAATTGGAAAAACCCCAAATTAAGCAACAACACCAAATATTAACAAAATGTATTGCTAGTATTAAAGATGTTAATGAATTGAAAATTGCTAAAAATAGTTTTAGTAAAAATTGTAAAGCAATAATGGGTAATTCTTTAGCTGCAAGTAGCAGTAGTTGTCGTGAAGGTTTCATTATTGAGAAAATTGAATGTGATGGCAATGGTAACAACACAACAAAATGTGTATGTGTTTTGAACCCAAAAGAATTGAAAAGAAAGTTAAAAAATTTAAACGATTGGAGTAGCAATAGTACTACTAACACAATAAGTGATAGCATTAGTACCGATAGTGATAACACTATACCAAACAGTTTTAATAATCTTTCGAGTAATGTTGTTACCATAAGTGAACTAAAAACAACTAAGAAATGTAAAAGTCCTAAAATTTTAAAAACAACAGAGAACCCTATTGAAAAATGCACTTCAAATATTGAAAAAGACTTACAACAAACGACCAGTATCATTTCTAGTAATAAAGTTATTGCACCAAATAATGTTGAAATTGGCGGAAATTCTAGCTGTGGTAACAATTGTAAAACTAATGTACAAAAATTTAATAAAAAGATACTATGTAATGGTAATCATGTAATCAATTGTAAAAATAATGAGAAAAAATGTTGTAAAAATAATATTATTGTATAAAAATGTTAGAAAAGAAAATATTTAGAAGAATATCGTTTGAAATGTCGAATACAATTTGACTAAGAATAAAAGAACTTCTAGAGTATGACCAAGTGAACTTTAGTAAAAATATTTGACATTTTCTATATTAGAAACAGAAATTGTGAGTTTTTTGTTCTCGAAAAACAGTAACCAGTGTGTAAACAAATCAAAAGTTTTCAAAAAATTTGTGCAAATGTAGGAGCTTTCAAAAGAAAAATAAGACTGATTTGGCCGGTACAAATTCTAATAGAACTTCAAGAAGCGCTGAAAATTTTTTTTCTGAATCTCAAAAATTTCTGCTTTTTTTTTTTTTTCTAATTTTAGTTTAAACTCATTTAAGTTTTCTATATTAGAAGTTAAATGTATTTGGCATTTCAAAACTGTTATTTATTTAGTAAAAGTTATATAAGACAACGTTAAAATTACAATTACTCTATTAAAAAAATTGTATACCTATACTTATTAATTTAATGTTTATATTAAATAACTTTAGTTAACTAAAAATTTCTTAATGTTATTTATTTTCCAAATATAATGCTGTGATATTAATCAATTAAACTAAAACAAATTAACTATTTTAAAATTATTTTTAATAATTACAAAACTTATTATATAAACCAGTTTTAAACTAAATATTCGTAATGTTAACACATCCATATAAATTAAAATAAAATTAACTGAAAACTCTAACAGTTGTTTATGTAAAATTACAACCACAAAACAATAATTTTTGCAAAAATAAGCCAAAATTTAATTTTTTTTAAATTTCTAAATTAGAACCAAAACCTTTTGTACTAGAATTATAAATAACGCGAGTATTGACTACAACATTTCTTGAGTATTGATATGTAAAACTGTGTGACTTTAAAATAAAGTCAATTATTAATAGCGTTACGCATATGCAGCACACGCATTCATATTTTGCTAATGAAATATTTTAAATTTAACCACAAATAAAAATTTCCTTGCTTAAATAAAACTATTAATTATTTCGAGTTAATTATAAGTTTTTTTTTAACATTGTAGCTTGGTTTGATTTATAATAGTTTAAAATTATTATTTTAAGATAACATAAATTGTTTTAAAACTGTAGAATTGGCAGCAACGATAGCTTACTTAAAAGTTAAAGCATGTAAACAACATGCTGAACAAGACACCATAACTTCTTCGTTTCATTTTTAAATTTATCAAATATTCAAAAATAAAATAAAAGATTATTTATTAAATTACCTAAAAGTATTTGAAAGCAAAAAATATAGTTTCCAAACTAAAATTATTATATATAAATTTAAAATGAAGTTATTAAAATAAATCTTAGTTTCTAAAAATTAATTAAGGTATTAAAAAATATTTGAATAAATATTATTCAAGAATATTACGTTCAAAATACGTGCATATACATTGAAAATATTACGGAGTGATAAGGTATCGTAAGTAATTATAAAATTTGTATATTGAAAAAAAGAATGAAATCCGTTGGAGAGAATGACGGATTTAGTATGTTTTTATTTATATGTCTTTAGTTTAATCAACATGCCCCTATCTTTGAGAATGAAATTGACTACCTATTTAATAGCTCCAAATTTTTGAAGAATATAAAATTTTAAAGAAACCTTACTTTAAAAGTCAAATTTCAAGCGATTTATCTTCGTAGAATTTCATTGATAAGAATTTCCATTCGTAAGTTATTGCTAGAATTTTGAATACAGCTCGACATTAATTTTAATAAAAACTTATATAAATACCAAGAGATAAATCCTAAATAAACATTTAACTTCATATATAAGATCGAAGATAAGAAAGTAGATCACGAGCTCAATAGCAATTGTTTTGGTACTTTTTGAAAATATGAAATGTTTAACATTTAATGAAACGGTTATGTCATGTAAATAACATGAAATTTATTTTAGATTTCTGTTAAGAATTTTTAGTAGAACAGAGCAAAATGTAAAAACTTACATAGTAAACTTATGCATATTGCATATTCCGAAATATAATACAATGTAATCATTATAAAATATAATATAATTAACCGTTTCAAATCAAATATAATACCTTTTCAACACTATTCGACTAAACCGTGAATATTAAAAACAGTGCTTTGAAAGGCTTTTTCTTTGAAACTATTATCGATGTTAAGAGGATGTTCAAAAATGCTTTACCTACATATTAATTTGAAACGATGAAGTTTTCCTTATGAAGCTCAGCAAATTTATTGAAAAATAAAAATTTAATTTCATGTGTTTCTATAACACCAAAACGATTTCAATTAAAGTGAAAAATATATTGGAGTATAAGATAATATTGTCTGCCATGAAACTGATTTGATAACATCATTTTTAATTTTGATATAACAAAATGTTTTTTCAAAAATATGTACATACATTACTTCTTCAATAAATAAAATATTTGAGAGAATATTAAAATGATCATGAATTTTCGTTAAAGAAAATGAAATATTGTCAAATAGGTAAGTGGAAAACTGTTTTTAAACAATTTAAAAAAAAAAAACTAGAATTTACAGATAAAATTTTAACCCATTGTATGCATTTGGTTTTTTGTTTGGAGTTTCAGAAAAATGCGTTAGAATTCAAATAAATTTGAATAAATTTTTAACAATTTTTTACAAAAGGGAAAAATTAATTCAATATTTGTTAAAATATGCTGTATAACTGAGGTAGGTTCTTTTAGTTTGAAAACCAATTTTGGGTCAACCCAAATTAGCAAATATTTCATTCACACCTATTTTCACTTCATTCATATTCAAATAAATCATTCAGAATAATAGTTTTTACAATTTTATTTACAACTACCTTCGCCAGATAACACCAACAACCCGTATTTAACTTGTCGCCCTAAGTTATCATTCAAAAGTTTTTTCAACCAACTTTTTATTTTTAAAATAAACATGAATACAACAACAAGTTAACTTACCTCAATTCCTGTAATTCCTAAAGCTTCTTCCAAATTTTGTGTCATTCGGAATGGAATACGTTCAGGAACACGTAAAGTTTTTCCCTTTTCAAAACAAACATTGTAATCAATATGAACTATGTTTCCAGTTGAAAGATGGACTAAAACATTATCCAAATGTCTATCTCCAAGACCAATAACATAGCCTATCACTGACATTACAGCTATAGATCTTGAATAATTTTTAATAGATTTACGCCAATCAGCGGCATTACTACTACAGCACCATAACTCCTTGGCTAATAAATCTCTTGGAGTTTCTCTAGTTAAATCTTCTAGAACCTTTCTTAAAACTGATAATGGCCAGGTTTTTCTGCTATCGGTAGGCTTTAAATTTTGTTCAGCTAGGAGAGGTGTTAACTTTTTATAAAATAACTCCGATGGTCGCATTACAATATTTGTAGGCTGTTGTTGTGGTTGCTGTTGCATTTGTTTTGATTGTGTTTGTTGAGATGTTCCACTTTTAGAATCAACTGCAGTTCTTTTAATTATTGGCATCGGGTTTGATGCTTCACGTTGTTGCCACTTCTTATAAAGTGAAAACAATGGTGTCATTCCGTCTACCCAACTTATAAGACCAGATTGTGGCCCCAATGGAATTACTAAAATTAAAAAAAAAAGATATAAAAACACTTTTCTTTAAATTTATCAGTCAACATTTTTTGTAAAAGCTTTTTAAAAAAGAAATCAAATAATATTTTAAACAACTTACCTGAATAATGATGAGCTCTATACAGAGTGTCGTTGTTTGACTTTGCCATCATAGAATTTGAAATTGATAAAAACTGCATAATACGCTCGTCTAAATGCAAATCTTCTAAACCTTTGAAAAGGTATGTATATTTTTTACCATTGCTACCATAAAACGCTAGCTTTTTTGGTCTAGTCTTCGTGGGTAGTATATTAACGGCATTGTCAACTGATTTTATGTAAATAGGGTCTTCCCGTCCAGTTTCTACACCTGGCATAGAAATAACAGTGTTTTTCAAGTCAGCTAAAATTGGGCTTATGTCACTCATTTTTAAAGAATTTTGGAAATTACGGTGAAATTTTTGTTGAAATACCGAATATAATTGTTTTATTTTCTGCCAACTTTCGTTAGGTTTTTGTAAATTTAAAGTTTTTTGTTTTAAGTTTTCAATTGTAGAACGAATTATTTTCAAATATTTTTCTTGAAAATGGGCCTCATAATTTGTTTCTGGTGGCTGCGAAGTACAACTATAAAATCTTTCCAAGTCGTCTACTATATGAGTTGTTAAAATTTTATGCTTTTCATATAGAAGTGGATATTTTTCTTCGCTTGAACATTTTTTTACCTCTGCTTCAAATGAATTGAAAAGTTCTGAGTACTCGCTATACAACTGAGCTAAAGCGTGCAACCAAAATTCATCCCAAAGTAAACTTATTCGTTTTAACTCTTTTTCAAGAATTTGAACTTGTTCTACGGTTTCAGGAGCTTGTTTGGACAATGTTGATAACAAAGAATTGAAGCACACGGTTAAAGGATTTATAACTTCTTCTACATGTTCATTATATTTTTCATTAACTGAATGTTTTTCAGTAAGTTTTATTTCAGGTAAATTTCTTCCTTTCTGTCGCTGAGTTGCACCAACAACGGCTGGAAATATGATTAAATGTGGCGAATCTTTCGCAACACGGCATAACAATTCTGATACCCGCTTACGTACATACAATTCATGATGGTTTAAACGACTGAATAACTGTGGGATAATAGCTTTCCATGGTTTCGTAGGTGTTGAACTTAATCCTTCTTCTAAAACATCTTGTAATCCTAACGCGTGTTTCACGACTAGTCGGAGTAGTCTTAATGTTGCAGTCACCATTGCACAATCCCCATAGCTTTCGTCGGTGTCATCTGAATCGCTATTTTCATCATTTTCTGTTGCTAAATTTAAAAACTTAAAATATGCATCAGCAGCCATCTCATAATAGCTATAAACACTTTTATTTGCCCTTTTCCAAATTAATATAATGGAGGTTATTGTTTCGGAACAAGTTTCATGTAGTGCTGGTATAAGACGTAGTTGTTGTTCAATTATATCAGTTGAAGTTTGCTCAGCTGAACCAATCTCTTCATCATCTATTGAGACAACTTGATGTTGATTCAAAACACTTATAATATCTTGTATTACATCAGTTTCTGTAAATGAAAGAATATCTTGCATTGTCTCTATGTCAATTGGAGAGAGACCGGCATTTGTAATAGTTTTGGCTTCTACTATTTTTTTGCCCCACCGATAATACCAACCACCTAATGCTAGCCATGATTTTGCTAAGTTTGAATATTCTTTTACGCTCATTTGAATTAATTTACCTATCATCATATCAACAAGCGGAATAACATTAGCTTCATCAGAATAAGATTTTATTTCTGGCAATTTCTGCATTAAATTTATAAAAGGAAAATTTTCTTCAGTTTTAGAATGTGCCAAAACTTGATCTGCACACTGTGGCAACCAATCTGATAAATTTAGTAGCATTCTGGCACATTTTTCTGAGGATGAAGCATCTAAAAAAAGAATGTATATAAAGCATATGAGAGACTAATCAAATAACTTTATTATAGTTTATTAAATTTTACTTACTTTTATTAAAACTTTCAATAATCTTTAAACATACACTCGATGCCAACTTAATTCCATCAACTTGGTAATCATTTTGACTAAATAACCATTTCGAAGTTTCAAATAGCGCTTTGGTTTCATCTTCATTACAATAAGCTAATAATCCTGAATTATTATTGACAGTTCTGGCTAAACCATATAAATCAACATTTATTTGTCGTCCTAAATTCTGATATTTTAAAAATTTTTCTAGCTCTGTTTTACATAATTTCAAATTAGTTTCCTTTCTAGCGGAGGATATTAGATCCAAGCATAAATTTTCGTAATTGGGAAGTTTAAATCCTTTTAGTTTCGCATGAATCAAGTCCATCCATCTTTTGATTTTAATCATAGTTCTAGAATTATGCTGCTTACTCAAATATATATCATTGAAGCAATACGGATTGCCACTATTTAATTCAATTATTCTTTTAGTAACATGATTCAAAATAATTAAGTGATGAAAATGTTCATTGGAACCGGTTCGAATACAATCTTCAAGACAACTTTGAATACAATTAATGCAATTTTCTAATATTGTTTTATTTTCATCTGATGTGTTTTTATCACAATTTAACAGAAAGCTGACTAGGGTGTTTTCAGTACGTGTAATAAGTTTATAACTAGAAAAATTGTTGTTTAAATTTTCAAAGTCTTTTATGTGATCCCAATCACTTAAGTCGATTAGAGATATGTTAAAATTTTCCTCAAAATTTTTCATTTGCGTTATTTGTTTTATATTTAAATTGAGCATATTATTTGGAAATTCATCATACACTTCACTTGCGGCACTTGTTTCGAACATTTCAACTAAAGAACCCCATTGATTCGTAAAATATAAGCAGTCCATTAACTGATTATAAACAAATGTTTTTAAACGTTTTTCAATATTTCCTGGTTCTGCTGTTGATTTCAAAATGCTCATGTATCCATCAGCAGCTTTTTCTAAATGACCAATGGCATGATCAGATGCATATTTTATCCATGTATAGCGCTTTCCAGTTTTTTGTTTAACCTTAAAATTATTTATAATTTTCAATTAAATATTTAATCTGTAATTTAATAGATATTTTAACTTATATATTATTTTAGATTTACCCATACATAAAGTCCAGCCAAAGTTTCACTCTCACTTGGGCCGCACTTTAAAAGTGCCCATACAAGTGACATCAAAATATGATCAAAAACTGGATCATGAATTTTATTAGAATTAATCATATTATTTAACACCAATTCAGAAAATCTTATGACGATTTCATGTTCAGAACAATGCAAGGCTACTACACTAACAGCAGCCCTAATTCTATTAAACCATTCATTACATGTGCTTATATTAACTCTAAAAAATGTTCTAGCTGGCTTTTCCGGAAAACTAATTGCAAATGCAGTACCATTTGACGCATTATAAATAGTCTTTTCTAAGCTTTCTAAAAATCCAAGTAAAATTTTTGCATGTCTCAAGTTAGTAACGAGAACGGAGAATTCATTAACCTTTTCACTTTCTCTATTTGCAATAATGCGGGCATCTTCCTTAATCAATGCTTCAATTTTTAAAAATGTGTCTTGCGGCTTTCCCAAGGCAGTACGCAATTTATTATTTACACAATATTGTGATGACTCCCATTGTACCCAATGCATTAACATATTTATATTAAAAACAGAATTATTATAAAATTCAATTGAATCATCTCTACCATTAGCAACCCAACATTTTGAAAATATATCTTTGAGAAACCTATCAATAAAGATTATTTCATTGGAATTAGCTATTTTTTCTATAAAATCTTTGAAATATTTGTCATGATAATTTATACCAGTCAAATTAGAGTTATACCAAAGTTTCAAATCGTTTTGTCGATCATTAAACTGCTTTAACATATTTTTTTTGGACCTTCGATTTGTAAGTAAAGCCATATTTAATGGCACTTTTGAAAGAAGCTCAGTGTAAACAGAACGTATTTTATGATCAGCTGACATTATGTGAATACAGCAAATTTCAGCTATCGCCAAAAGAACTTTGTCAGAAATTTTAGGATGAAACTTTATTAAATATTTAAAAGTTTTTGCGCATTCAATAAGAATATATCGATTCGAAGTTTTTTTTGTAGAAGTTTTACAGAGATTGATAGCAATTTCTATAAAATCTGAATTTCCTTTCATAGAATCTGCATGATCTGCACATTCCGAGTAAATGGATATTAACCAATTAAGTAAATTTGCAAATGACTCTGAATCAAAATTATTGGTATCTTCGAAATTCTTAATTATATTTTTTAAGAATCTTAAAATTTCTGTAAAATTTTCAGAAGTTGGACTTAAGTCGTCTAAGGAAAGTTTACTAAACATCGAATTTTGTCCATTAATTAAGTTGCTTGACAATAGAAAATTGTGATTTTTACTACAATGAGTTTTCAAAAGATTTAAAATAGATTTGTGTAAATTCGGACACACAACCCACAAACTTAAATTGTCTGCTTCTAAATCCTAAAATAAAAAATAAACAAATCACTAAATAATTTAAAAAGTTGCTTTGTGTAAAAAATCATTAATACAAAAAGTTGCTAACCTTTAGAAAAAGTTCCAAAATTGATGGTTGTAAGGCATACATAGCTATTATAGATGATGTTTGTGTAGCTAATATGGATAAAGAACATAGATGAAAATTTAAAATGCATTCCGATTGATTGAAATTTATGAGCTCGTCATCATTATTTTTATTAAAAATTACAGAAACGGCTTCTCGAATGTCAGTCAAAATATATTTATAAGCCTGTTGCAATATTGGTACATTCTTAATAATTAATATTTCGTGATATATTTTTATAAATAGCTTGAATATTTTTTTATTTTTTGAAAATTTTAAGCTATTTAATTCGGTGTCTGACTGAAGTAAATGATCAACTAATTCAATTGGTAAATTTTGCTGAAGATTTTTAATCAGGTATAAAACAAGAAACAAAAAACTGCATATTTGATTATCGCTGAATAATTTCAAATTTTTTTCTTGGATACAAATAATTTCAATAACCTGATTTGTGTCACAAATTACTAAATCACTATCACTTGCCAGAATTAATACAAAGAATTCATTTACTGATTGTACTGTCTCAGGACATATAGTTTTAAGCAAACTTAATTTTGCAACTTTTGTAATCGTTTCTACAGCTTTATTAAAGAATGGTTTATGCTTTGACATGTTAAATGCTAATATTGTTTTATCATTTACTAAACATTTTATAATAGTGTTGAAAGCTCCAATAAAAGATCCAACGCTTATTTCTGGTGGATGCTGAGGACGTTCTTCTGAAACGGATGATTTTTCATTTTCCATATCTTCAGCAAATATGGCAATATCTTCTAAAAATTGTTCCAACAGTCCTAGTGTAAAATCCAACTTTTTAACAAAAAAATCAGAAAAATTTTGTAAAACATTTGAACAATGTAATTTAAGATCCATAGCTTGGTCCATTTCCAAGTGCCAACCAACAACAATATCAACAATATCTTGAAAGTGTTTTTCAAATGGTTTTTTATAATTGTTTGAAAACTCTGCAATGCAATCACTAACGGCTACAAATGTTTCAACAATATCAGAATTTTCTAAATAGTCTTTTAGTTGTAATAACATTCTTTCGCTATAAACATTCAACTTCCTTCGTTTATAGTCTAAACGGAAGGTTTCTTTTAAAGCTTTCATTAAGTAAACTCTTATTTCTTTGTACGTGTCATAACTTTGGCATATCCAACATTTGTATATTGGAAAATCAGATATTGCTATAAATCCAAGATTGCCAAATATAATTGCTAAGTGATCTAAACATTCTGCTGGCCCATTACGAAATACGGATATTATCGATTCAGCTATAAAATCAAATGCTCTTTTAATATAAACAGAATTTGCTTGATCAGTAATAGCAATATCTAATTTTCTGCATAATTCTTTTGCTACGCTGGGATGATTTTCTCCAACCAAGTTCCTTAAAATTTTGGAAATTTTTATCTCTTCTGACACATTGTAATTTGATGACACATCTGATTTCTTTCCTGAAAATTATACTTGATAAAATTTTTATAAGCTTTTTTATATTTATGAATTGATACCACCACCGTAGTTTAGTTTATTTCCAGAATCAATTTGACCTTTATTCAAGTCTTTCTCACGATATCGTTGATTTGTGGCACTTGTAGACGCGGCATTTCGTTTTTCATCTTCATAATCGCAATTTTTAGAACTAAGACTCTTATTACTTCCACGATCCCGATCATTCTTTCTTTTTGTATCCAAATTAGAATTATCAAAATATTGGCGACGAATAAAATCACTTCTTTTTTCTTTATATTGATACTGGCTCCTGCTAGATCCCGCCCTGGGCTGGTATCTTTCTCCATATTCTGCAGACAAATATGGGCAAACTCCTGATAATGCTTGTTCAATTGAAATGCTTTTTGCCTGGCTATTAACACCGTCTCCTAAAATTCAATACTTGCATAATTTAGTACGTTTTTTAGTTTTTTACCGTTAACAATATTACCTGCACCAATGTTGACATTTTCATCCTTTGTTTCAATATGTAAATCTTCACTATCATTGTCGGTGGTGTTCATAACTTGCTAGTATCGCATTATCAACAAGAATTTCACAACACAAATTTTTTACGTCTTTTCAACTTTTTACAGAGATTTTCACAAAGCAGCACAATTTTTTTAAGACAATCTGATATTTATTTATTTTAATAAAAACTTTTGCCTTTAAACGCACGTTTATCTTAAACCGCGATTTTGATGACAAACAATGACAGTTCTAATTACAGCTGTTTACTTGCATTTATACAATGCTGTTTATTTTAAGCGAATTTAAGTACGCAGTAAGGGTCAAAGTTTATGAAACTACAATACGATATCTACAATATATTTAAGATGCAAACCATCTACAATACATTAAGAAATAAACTCTGCAGTATATGTTACTTTGTAAATTCTATAAGAGTATAAAAGTGATAACAAAGCAATTGATTTCGATTCATCGTGTCATATATGAAAAATTAACTGGTAATATCTTGAATATCGATTTTTTTCTGAGATATATCGTTCAAATATATTCTTTTCTTCAAAAATAATTTCAAATAAAGTTCAATTTACCATAGATGATAAATGCACTCGAAAGATTTGATACACATACGAGAAAATTTTTGTAATTTGTAAAAAACCAATTTTGAATATTTTATAAATTTATAAAAAGTAGACACATGGCTTTTATTTTAAATTACATACATACTTGAATTTTATATAATAATCATTTTATGTTTTCTATTATAATTGTTTTATTACACGTTCTCTATAAATTTATATTCTACACATTTAGATTATAAAAGTAATGATTATTTATATCACATTTTATTGTAAAAGGTCAAACAGTCCAAAATTACAATTCAACTGTAAGTGTACTTTACTTATTATGCTCATGTACCTATACATTTTTATACACCTATTTTTAACGAAAATTGGTTATTGTAAGTTGCACGACAGACTATCAAATATTGTATTCATATTTGCAGTATGTATTTAAACTTTCGCAATATTATCTAAAGCGATTTGATGTACGAAAATATGGTCAAATTTTTAGTGATTTTTAGCTTACATTATTAGTGTATAAAAATGCAATGCAATAATAAGTTGTAATTATAGTTGTAATAGTTGGTACAAAATATAAGTCTTTATAGGAAGAATCGCAATACTTTTTGTTAAAAATACATACATACCATGCCTTATGTATGGTATGTATTTATTTTGAAAACACTATTTTTGATACTATGAACTACTCTGTACTAAACTGAAATAAAAACTAGCTGTACATTTAAATTGTATTTCGGAAACTAAGAATATTATTTCAGTAAAAGTTCGTGCTTTTTTGTTAATTGAAAACAAAGAAAAACTTATTTTTAAAGATCTTAAGTAAAATAAAATAATTAAATTTTTAGCCTGATCTACTAAAAATAAGTCATTTACAATAAACCCTTTTTTTATTTCATTACGATTTTTTTAATAACAAAATGAAAAGTTAAACTCTCTTAAAACCTTAAGATATTAATATGCAATAGTTGTATTGATTATTATTAATCTGGGTTATTGAAGTATGTATTTAAATTTAGCACGATTGGCACTGTGAATAAACACAAGTGAGCGAATTTAAAAATAAATTTTTTTTAAGCGAATTTATTTTCGCTTTTGACAGCTGTCATTTCAAATTGTTGCCTTTTTTTTTATTCCTGGGTATAGAATACATAAATTTGAAAGGAAAACATATAGAAAAATAATATTTTGACTGTTCTTTGTAAAAAAAAAAAAATAAATTTAATTTTTGTTTCCATTTAAATAAAAGATTAAATTGAAATAAGTGCTAATGTTTTTTAAATATAAAATGTAAACTCAAAATATAAAATCGGAATATTTTAAACCGAAATAGTCGGGAAGAAGAAGAGTTAAATTTTTTCCTCTTAAATTTTTTTTGTTTTTTTATTTTTTTAAATTCGTATTATTTTCGACCGCAAAGCCCTCCTCTTTGAAAGGAAGAAGTTTAAATCTATGCAATATCTATACATAAATCGATTTTTTCTTTTTGAGTTTTTTACTTAATTAGAAATGAAATTTTTTTTAAGAAAATTTTAAGTGATTGTAAATATTTTAATGAATTAATTTATTTTAAAATTGAATAAAGAAGTTTTTAAGAAATTCACAAAGTGTGTACCCACTGGATTTGAAAAAGGAAAATAAGAAAGTTAAAAGAAAAGTCAATTTAGCTGAAAATGTTTTATTTAAGTGCCATATTTTTCGTATGAAAGTCCTTTTTTTCTCGAGCTAATATTTTGTTAATTTTCGATTATTTATTTTTGTTGTAAATTCAAATTGAAAATTTTTTCATGAAAATTTTTGAGTAAATTAGTTGAATCTCAATCATCTTAATCTCTTGAATTTTCTTTTTGTTGTAAAAAATTTTTATAATCTTTAAATAACATTTTATCTTAAATCGGGGTGAAAAATAAATTAGTAATTTTTTTAATTTGGACGTTTTTGTGGTATATTCTGGTTTGTTTTCTTTGGTTTTTTATTATTATCTTTTTTTTTTGGAGCATTAAGAATAAACATCTACCTACCTAAAACATTTACCTACAACGCAAAATAAAAAGGCAGCAGCAGCAACACAATCTTTTTTTAAGAAAATTTAAAATAGAAACAAATTTATGTATTGAAAAGAGAAGAAAAAATAATAACAATTAAAAAAAAGTAGCATAATAGCGCAAAAAAAAAGAATAGAAAAATTTTATTTAAAAAAATAGAAAATTTTCATATATGCTTTTGTTCCTAACTGCAAATGGGAGCTAAAGCTAGCACTGCACAACAAAATGGGACTCAAAGCCCAAGATCAAGTACTGATGTTGTATCAGCCGGTGCAGCTGGTTTCAATTTATTACGACAGAATGATAGACAAAGGGCAAGAAGTTTATCTTCTGTGCCAGATTTACAATCTTCAAATAATAACAATAATACCAATAATAGTAATAGTAATAATAGCCATCATCATCACCATAATAATCATCACGGTAATAATATTAATAATAGCATAATTAATAATTTAGGTAATAATCTACATAATAATTCAGTTTCAATGGTACAAGGTGGTGCCCAAATATATGGTGATGAAAGTTCCATAATTGTTGGCGGAGGTGGACGTAGTGGAGAATTTGATGCAACAGGAATTGGTATAGGAATAGTACATCATCAAAATAATGACGAAAATGGTCAAAGTGGTGGTATTAGCAGTGGAGTTCAAAATTCAGCATTAGGACGTGTTTATACAGCAACATCATTACCTTCACATATATGGTCTTTGAATGGTAAGTAACTTATACCTAAATATTTTCTATAAATTTCATATTTTAGTGTATGAATCTATGTAGGTAAATAATACTTTTTCAGTAATACTTTTAAACAAGTTGTTCACTTAGTTAATTTACAATTCAATTACTTACTTATGTAAATTTTATATTCATTAGCAACCTATTTAAGGAACTAGAATGGATTAATTACTCTTTGAGAAATATAAAATACTTACTTCTCAGACTTTTTTAAGTAAGCGTTTGAAACATGCTTTCTTAACTAAACAAGTGTTTCAAGAATGAAAAATTTACATAATTTTTTTGAAATTAAAACTCAAAACGAATTGAGTTCAAACGAATTGATTTTAAGTGATAAATTTATACGTATTGTACGTATATTTTTCTACTACGAAATCTAAATTGATTTGTTGTGTTCTATTTTGTCTCCTACTTATAAAATAAATGAACCTATGTTTGTACTTATCAATGTGTTTACACGCATATAATACGTATACGTATGTATGCATGTTCAGATTTATTTTAATAAAAACGACGATAAAAGTCATGCAACAACAAAATAATGAAAAAACCCCAAAGTAGCAAGACAGTGATAATAAACCATACATGTATAGTTGTCTAAAAAAGCAAAAAGATACAAATATTGTAACTTAAAATGTAAATATAAACACATACTTTTATGTACATGGACTTCAAATACCTAATACTTATATGAATATTTAAAGATACCCACGGGGTGGTGATAATAATTTTAAAGTGATGACAACATTGTTGTAGTCCAAATCATCCATCATTATCAATTAATGAACAAATAATTGAAGATGCTCCTTACTCATATGCATATCAACTTGCTCTTATTTTTATTAGAATTTAAATTAAAAATGAAATAGAAATTAAAAGTTGCGAATACGTATTGAGTATTTTTTGCACTAAGCTCAAAATAAAGAACAGATTCGCAAATTTTTTATAAGAAAAGTGATTTAAAATATTTGCAACGTAGATATTCTATGCAATATGAGACAGAATTTAGGTTTCCAAGTTGCAATTCTATGCTTTTACTTGTTAAATTAAAAAAAAAAAGGTTTTTTTTTTTACTTTTATAAGAATTTCTTTTAACATATTGAGAATTTCTTAGCAGCCTTCGGTAGGACGTTCGAAGCTGAGAAGAACAAAATAGGTGCGAATTAGATTCTGAATTTCTGAACAGTTTATTTTATTGTCGGAAAATGGGGAAATAATGAGAATTCCCATCTTCCCAAATATGATTTAGAATAATACGCAAACAAATAAAAATGTGAAAATTACCTCTCTAAATATGATTTTAGAAAAAAGTACTTAGAAACAAACTGTTTCAATGTAGATTTCTCCAGGGTCATGCCAACTCTTTTCAAGTACAATTCCTGTTTTACAACACCTTATGATAGTTACAGTTCTTATAATTTTAATCTGACATTATTTTCTTCATTTGCTTTCTTTTTGCTAATTAATATGCTTTTTTATTTGTTTACTTCATGTTTTTTCATACTTAATATTAAATTCGAATATTATGGTTACCTTTAAGTAAATGTATTACATTTTATATCTTTTATTCCTCTTTTCCTACAATTTTTGCTTATTATTAACAAAAAACAAGCAAGAAAAATCGAATAAAAAATGAAATTAAAAGGAAAAACAGAAGCCTTCCTTTTTCATGTCTCTCTATACTTTCTTCTAACAATAGTTATTTATGATTGTTACTTCATTTCCAGACTGTTACTTATTTATATATTTGCTTTAAGTACAGCCGTATAACTAAATGTATTTTAACTTTGCAATAATTTTTACCTATGATTGCTTTTCTTTTAACGTCCGCTCTTATTTGTTTTGCAAATATTAACGTTTTTTGAAAAAAAACAAATTTCAAAATGGTTTCGACGTTTTCAGAATTATTATGATTTCAGTAATTATTTTCTATCTCTTTCTTTTAAATGTATATTTTTTTTATTGCATCATCATCGTCATCATCGTGAAAAACTTCACTTTTTATAAAAATTGAAAATATCAAAATGAAAAACATGAAGAGTAATATAAAAAAAAGTTTTTAAATCAAAGAAGGAGAACGAAATAAAATTCTTCATAATCGTAGTATTTGAACCGAATTAATTAAAAATGAAGAAAATAAATGGTAAGTTGATCATGTTACCTGAAAGGCAAATCTACTTGCTTTTCTTGTTTAAGACTATCTAACAATAAGCTTAATTTGAAAAGACTGCTAGACCGCTTACTAGACTGCTAGCTTTGGGTGAAATGTATCTAAAATGTATCCCATTTTATCTTCGATTATCAGTAATTTTTAAAAACTTTGACAAGTATTTTATGATCAATAAGTAAAGTTTTCAAAAATAACGCTGTACTTCACATTTATATTTCAAATTAAATTTGCATTTAGTACGAGTATTATATTGAAGTCGGGAAAATTTTCAATTTATTCAAATATTAACGAATTGTAAAATTTATAATACCAAAAGCATTTGTAAAAAAAAACCAAAATAATCGCATGTCGGTGCCGTGGCAGATTGCGAAAAGTTGAATTTATAGTTAAGAATTTTTTCTTGTATTTTGGTTTACTTTTATTTTTCATAAATATTATGCACGATATTTAAGTAGTTTTAATATATGTATTTAGTTTTCCTTAATGCTACTCTTATACAGTTACATAAAAATATATTTATTAAGGTATACTTACATATATTCGAATCGTGTTTGCCAATAAGAGTCAAAGTATTTAAAATTAAAATAAAATACAACTTGGAAGCAATTATAATTTTATTTTCACTGAACAAATTTTATTTTCACTGAATGAAGTAGAATTTGTTATCGCTGTTTTATATAAAGTTTGGCGATACAGTGACAGTAACTTTCCGTATATACTTACTTTTGCGTGAACGTAGTGAGTATAAAATTAATTAAATTAAGTAGTTCTTAAATTTTTATTTTAAACAATTTCAAGGAATTTTATAACAATAATGTTTTTATACAAATTCCTGTATATTTTATAAATAAATTAGCAAAAACTGACCATTCTTTATCATTCTTAACATGCTCAGTTTAAAAAGTTTATAACAAAAAGTTTAATGCAGATTTATTGGCAGACTTTGTATAAATAAGAAGTAAGTAAACGAAAATTTTTCCCATTTCTTTCTGTTGAAATCACCTTAGTATATTTTTATACACTTTGATAATATTTGGTTACTTTACTTTAGTGATTATTTTTGTTTAAGTATTTGGAATGTTTCACCATATTATTCAACAATCGTATACTACACGAAAAACTCTTCAATTTGAATAGTATTAAAATCTAGTATATGAAAAATTATGATTTATATTTACACGAAAAGAAATTATGAAATAATTATTTAATTATTGAACTATGAATTATTAAATAATACTAAATTTAACATAATTTTATTTAATATTACATATTATGAAACACGATCGCTATCAAGTATTATACAAAATTTTAGTTTAAAATTGCATTTTTTTTAAAGATACTTTTAACCAAAAATAATTTGCTATGTTACCTTAAAGTTTAAAGTTAATTTGCTATATAACTTTTAATACTTCTGCAACTTTAACATTTAAAAGAATGTAAGGCACTAAAATACTGTGACAATTAGATGCTAATAATAAATTCATAAGTCGAATAAAATTCTTACTTAAAGTCGTTAATTTTTTAGTAATTTTGGATTTAGTAAAAAGCATTTATTCAACTTTAATTTGAAATGTTCTGTGTAATCCTAAAGAAATAATATTAATAATGTGTCCCCATGCAAAATTTATATATTTAAACAAATTTTATTTGTAGCTTTAAATTTTTATTATGCATAATAATAATCCATTAAAGTAGAGGGAAACAGTAAAGGAAAAATTTTTATCGAATGCCACTTGATCGTACATTCAAAATACAATAATATAATTTGATTCCTTTTTCATGGTGATATTTCAATTCATTATTTATAACCATTTTGCAAGCTACAAAGTATTTATTTTGTTTATTACACAATCTACTTAATGTAAGAAAATCATATAAATGCTAGTTATCTTTGGTATTTTTACACTAAATATGGTGCTTTGCTATCTGATAATCATTTAATGCCCTAATTTATGCATACATAAGTAGTAATAGTTGTAGCTTGTTCTTTATCGTATGTTTCAATATTAAAAGCATGAATCATATGTATGATTTCATTTAAATTCAATGTAATGCTCTAAGGAATATAAAATCTTTAAAAATTCTAAGACGTTTTAATAAAGAAAAAAAATACATGTAGATATGTACATATTTACTTATGTAAGTAAAAAATCACGCAGAAAAAAAAGGAAATTTCCTCCATTTCAGGATCAACTCAATTCTAATATGACCTCTTTTCAATAATTTACGTTACCAATATTTTTTCCTTTTGCTTGGTTTTTGTAATTTTTGTCTGGTTTTATTTTACTTCCCTAATATTTTTCAATTTCAAGAAATTGAATCTGTGAATGTAATGAATTTTTGTATTTTTTTTCTTTACTTCGTGTTTTCTTTTTAATATTGTGAAAAAGTTGCATAAAAATCTAAAGAACAAAAACAAAAGAAAAAACATAAATATTATTTGGGTCAATAGGTTATAAAAGTTTGTGTGTGCATACTGTGTAACTTGATGTATACATATATATATATACATATAATAAGGTATGTGCACATAAATGTATGTGTGTGCTTACATAAAAAATTTATATTCTTGTGAACAGCTTTACAGTCAAAAATACCTGCCTAAATCGTTTTTAGTGGCAATATCAAAACTAGTGAAAGTGGAAGCAAAAGAAAAAATAAAGAAAAAAATGGGTCTAAAAATTTGTTTTTTTTTTTTTAACTTTGGTGATAATAAATGTTTATGGCAGCTTATATACTGTAACGTAACTAAACTGCAAAATAAACTTGTTTTTATACTCTAAGAATCAACCTGAAAGATTTAATATTT